GGAATGCCGTGGCGGACCCCGCCGCACTTCTCGATCACGCACCGGACGACCGAAGGAGAAATCGGAGAAGCGATGGAGGAGAAATCGAGGGAATGGCAGGGGGTCGAGAGGCTAGGGTTTAAGGCGGCGGTGTCGGCGCTGGGGTTAGGGTTTTTGCGATAGTGGTCCTTGATGAGGGAGTGGAACTTGTCGGCGATCTGTAAGTCCTCCATGGTAAACTCAACGACGTTGACTGCAGCGGCGGAGGCGGTCTCGTCGAGGTTGTCGCCGTCGTCATGGTGAAGAGACGTGGCGGCGGCGGAGGAGGAGAAGGGTATTATTAGGTTACGATTTGATAGAGAGCGAAGGATCCGAGAGAGCCCAAGGTTTGATCGAGATAACGCCATTAATGGAAGATTCAGTTGCTTCGTTCGCCGGGAATCACAGTGTTCGCAGAGCGAGTAGACAAGAGCCAAGGGATTTATTCTGTACGGGATTTATTCAGACGGAGTTTGGTCTGGATTATTTTTTTTGGATTATATTTTTTTTATGATTTTATTTTGAAAAAATTATATTAATCTCATTCTATATTCAGTTCATTTTATTTTTTGTTTAAATCAGTTTGAGTTCATATCCATATTCATTTTTTGATTAATTTATACTAAACTTGAATTAAAACAATTAAATTGTAAACATAGAGCTCAATTTAGATATAATTATATATATTATCAGATTGAAATGTATTAGAGATTATAATTTATTCAACGGAAACGAAATAACACCCTTATCCTTTTTTTCCCCTGAATAAGGCCCTAATCTCAGCCTCCAATTTCTAACCATAATCTCGGCCTCAACTCAGCTCTCGCCTCCCCATGCGACCACACCCGATGAAAAGCAGGCAGTTGGTTTACGTACGGCTTACCTTTTCTGTCCCGAGTTTGCGAAGCATGCCTAATGTCTCTGCAAAATCTGGAGGCGGCGGACACGAGAATTTCACATCTTCTCCCGTGCAAGGGTGCTTAAAGCTACACAAGAAAACAGAAAAGAGTCATGTAAGCGGCTGTTCATGAAATAACAGCTTCAAGAATCGGATTTAGTTGCTCACCCAAGGACCAAAGCATGAAGGCAGGGCCTGTCCAGTCTCGAAACCAGTTCTAAGATCTGTCCATGATCGTTACGGGAGGCTCTTTTCTGAAGAAGGGAGAGGGCCATGCTCTTTGTTGCTCCATAGACTTCGTCACCTAACAGAGGAACTCCCACATACTTTGCATGTGCTCGTATCTACTTTAAGCCAAAGACGAAAAATTGGAATTACTTGGGGATCAGAAGTTCCAAGCAGCGTGAATCGGATAATGGTAGTTGAATTTCAAGTAAATGAGCATGAGAAATCAAACAAAGCCGGGAAAATTTTGAAGGTTTTGAGTATCCATGGATATTAGCAGCATATTGACATTGAATAATGCAGGACTACCTGATGGGTGCGGCCGGTTTCCAGCCTCCACTCTACCAATGCAGAACCACCGCCAGCAAGAATTTCAATCACCTTATACCTAACAATTACAGAAAAAAATTTGAATGGCAATAACAATTTCATTATCAGGTAACTTTAGAAGATTTCGATTCTGCAATCTCTATGCAGGCACGCCAACAAAAGAAACAGTGTGTCCTAGAGCCTCATGGGCTTGTAAAAAACTACTAATCACCTACTAGCAGCATGACGAGCCCTTCCACGGTTTGACAATCCAGGGATAGCAGCCATACGGATCCGATTATTCAAATCACGACCAATCGGTATAACGATTCGTCCATGGGATGGAGAAGGAACCCCACAAGTAAGGCTTACATATACTCTTTCAATAGTGTGTTGTTTGAACTGTTCAGCTAGATGGGCATGGGAATGTTCATCCTGTAATGCCATCTCAGAAACTCATAGGAAGCAAGAAATAATCAATGAGACCGAGAAATAAAGAAAAAACTTCACCTTAGCAACAACAAGCAATCCACTCGTCCCTTTGTCCAACCTATGAACAATTCCGGGACGAACAGACGCAGAGTATGCACTAGAAGACATAGTCTCTTCATCCTCTGAGAAATCCTCTTCATCGGGATCGACTTCGGTGTCTGAATAAGCAACTATGGGAAGACTGCAATGGTGAAGAATGCCATTAACAAGCGTGCCATTCGGATTACCGGGTGCCGGATGAACCACCTAAAGAGCAAAACAAACAAAGGGTATTCTCTCTATTTCAAATCCAGAGGGGCATTTCCAATTGCAATTCCTAGCAGTTTCAGAAGATTACCATGTGAGCAGGCTTGTTAACTACAAGAACATGATTGTCCTCGTAAACTATATCCAAAGGCATGTCTTCAGGCTCAGCCTTCAAAGGCTGTAGCTCTGATATTGTACAACTGACCATATCACCAGCTTTCACGTTGTGCGAAACCTGCGTAAGATGAAGAAATCGAAACTCAAATGAATATAACTTGCAGGATCGAATTACCAAAACTAAGGGAGCTTCGAAGAATTCAATCAAAACCTTATCCACGACACGGCCATTGACGCAAACGAGCCCCAATCGAATGCTCGACTGCACACGAGCTCGGCTCACGCCATGAACGCGAGACGAGATCCACGAGTCAAGCCGAATCTTTCCCGTTGCAACATCGACAGTCTCCTGAAATTTCACGCCGGCGTTACTGGCCCTCGGGCTGATTTCCGGCCGACGAACCCGGTCGGAATCTGGTATTCCGGAGCTTGATCTGACGAATCTAGAAACCCTAGGGAAGAAAGAGAATAATACAGAGAGAGAAGAAGAAGAAGAAGAGGAAGACGAAGAAGAGCGAAGGGATTTTCCGGTGAAAGATGAAAGATTCGACACCGGGGAGAGAGTGAGCATCGTGTCTTCAACAAAACTCCGTTTGCTCTCCGGTAAGGTCCATACATATAATACAGTGGGCCCAATTGACACATATAGGGCTTTTAATGGGCTTTTTTTAATTAAAATGGGCCGAACCAGCCCTCAAAAATCTCCTACATTATTCAAAATATCCTCTTTTTACTAAACACTATTTTTTCATCATACCCTTTCACAAATTTATGTCACATTGGATATAAGATTAAATTTAACACGATTACTAAATCACCATATTCACACTTTATATATCACACTAAGCACTTAGTAAAATCATTATAAATTTAAGACTATAACCAATATAAACATCCTGTTACATTTAGAAAAAAAAAGAGGTGTAAAAAATAAAAATAGAAATAATTTTAATAAAGAGAAGATATTTTAGATATTTTACCCCTTGAATCTTGAATATTTGAATTGGTTTTAATTTACTACAATTGTTGTAAGATGAAAAAAATAATTTTCAAATTGAAACTAATAAATACCGAACTGAACCTTATAAATATTAAACTAAAATCCAACTTATTCATCTATGTGTCAATATCAAATTTCCGAATTTTGCTTGTTATTCATATAACAAAACCATTCCGAATGGAATCAAACACTTAAAGAAACCAATACAACATGGTTTCTTAATTTCACATGGTACATTATGGAACAATACAACACGGGAGAGAGAAAGTCGCCTCGATGGGTTCTTTATTTGACCTGATGGCACATTATGGAACAAAAAGACATAATCCCGAGAAGAAAGCTTCCTCGGATGTCTTAAAAGGAGCAGCAACAACAGAGAGCACAACACAAAGCTATAAATAAACAACACATTCACCCATATGTCTGAGTTTTAACTACACGAACTTAATTCAAACTCACAATTAATCCGAAAAAAAAAATAGTACTCATTTGAGGTGTTTAGACAAACCATACGATGAGAGGAAGAAAAAGGAGAGGGGACTTAGCTGGAGGAAGAGTCGCGGCTGTAGAATTGGTCGAGGGTCTTTGCGGGGATACGGTGGAGAAGCTCCCGAGGGAAGATTCGGAGGAGAGTCCAGGCCAGATCGAGTGACTGGAATATGTTCCGAGTGTCGTACGCCCCTTGCGTCACGAATTTCCTCTCGAATTTGTCTAGAAACTCTAGGTACAGCTGCAATGAGTAGAAAGATTGTCATGATCCGCAGTTTCAACCTTTTGATATGGTTTTAAGTCCAGTTACTAAGAAAACTTATTGCAAATTTAGCACTGCGACGGCAGCTCGGATAGAGGTAACGTAGGAAAAGAGTGCAGCAAACTGCATCTAAAGTCCCATGGTATAGAAACAAACAACGGGTGGGTGGACAGAGCTCGGGTACCCGAGTTTTCTGGTGTAACCGACCTCGGCCTCGCCCCCCTCGGGTTTATTGAACGGACTACCCAACCTCGATTTTGTAAGGGCCGGATGCCTGAAATCCGGGTACCAGGTACCGCGGGGTGTGGGGAAGGCTTGGATACTCGGCTAGCAAGGGCAAGTGCGATGGAGAGAGGACGAGGCGGTCAGCCAATAAAAGGAAAAAGAGAGTCAGGCCGAAGGAGGGTGAGGCGAGGAGACAGACATAACTGGCCCTGAGGAGGGAGCGGCAAGGCGAGGACAAACCGAAGTCGCAAAATCACCGCCACTCACGACCCCGCCGGCTCGCCCCCACGAAACTTTTCCCCCTCAAGTCAGGTTACCTGCGGGGCGCTAACCGAAATCGGTGCCCGAACCCAAAAATCGGATTCTCACCGTCCATGGACTGTACTCGGAGGACGAGTACCCAAAAATTCAGACATACGAGTCACGAGAAGGATGAATCCTCGCGATCTCGGGTTCCCGCTGCCACTTCCAATGTTGGTGTATGGTGTGTATACAAACTGCAAAGTATACGATTATGCATGCATAGAGAGGGAGTGAGCGAGAGAGGTACCAGATCCTCAGAAGAAAGTGCTTCCTCTCCGACCACAGCTTTCATGGCTTGTACATAAGCGCCCGAGGGAAGATTCGGAGGAGAGTCCAGGCCAGATCGAGTGACTGGAATATGTTCCGAGTGTCGTACGCCCCTTGCGTCACGAATTTCCTCTCGAATTTGTCTAGAAACTCTAGGTACAGCTGCAATGAGTAGAAAGATTGTCATGATCCGCAGTTTCAACCTTTTGATATGGTTTTAAGTCCAGTTACTAAGAAAACTTATTGCAAATTTAGCACTGCGACGGCAGCTCGGATAGAGGTAACGTAGGAAAAGAGTGCAGCAAACTGCATCTAAAGTCCCATGGTATAGAAACAAACAACGGGTGGGTGGACAGAGCTCGGGTACCCGAGTTTTCTGGTGTAACCGACCTCGGCCTCGCCCCCCTCGGGTTTATTGAACGGACTACCCAACCTCGATTTTGTAAGGGCCGGATGCCTGAAATCCGGGTACCAGGTACCGCGGGGTGTGGGGAAGGCTTGGATACTCGGCTAGCAAGGGCAAGTGCGATGGAGAGAGGACGAGGCGGTCAGCCAATAAAAGGAAAAAGAGAGTCAGGCCGAAGGAGGGTGAGGCGAGGAGACAGACATAACTGGCCCTGAGGAGGGAGCGGCAAGGCGAGGACAAACCGAAGTCGCAAAATCACCGCCACTCACGACCCCGCCGGCTCGCCCTCACGAAACTTTTCCCCCTCAAGTCAGGTTACCTGCGGGGCGCTAACCGAAATCGGTGCCCGAACCCAAAAATCGGATTCTCACCGTCCATGGACTGTACTCGGAGGACGAGTACCCAAAAATTCAGACATACGAGTCACGAGAAGGATGAATACTCGCGATCTCGGGTTCCCGCTGCCACTTCCAATGTTGGTGTATGGTGTGTATACAAACTGCAAAGTATACGATTATGCATGCATAGAGAGGGAGTGAGCGAGAGAGGTACCAGATCCTCAGAAGAAAGTGCTTCCTCTCCGACCACAGCTTTCATGGCTTGTACATCCTTCCCGATGGCATAGTTTGCATATAGCTGAAAAAGCAAAAACCATGTAAAGACACAATACCTCAAAATTAACAAAGAGAAGCAGCATCGCAGGCAAGATACATGGTGACAGTACCTGGTTGGACACGTCAGCATGGTCTCGACGGGTCATTCCCTCACCAATAGCACTCTGCAGAATGAACAATCAATCATATATCAAGAAACACGATGAGAGTTCGTTTTAAGGGCATAGATATCTTGAAAAAAAGGATGCGATGATATGTTCAAACGGCATAATACCTTCATAAGCCGTGAAAGGGATGGGAGCACGTTAATGGGTGGATATATCTGTTAAGTAAAGAACAAAGGAAGTCGGAATGCAATACATCACATGAGTAAACACCTTTTATTTGTGTTTAACAAGAAATGATAAACAGATCCAAAGAGGATAGCGCAAAACATGAACTTGTGGTTCGGTCTCTGCTTACCTGTCGGTTGTAAAGTTGACGATCAATATATATCTGACCCTCGGTAATATAACCAGTGAGATCCGGAGTAGGATGTGTGATGTCTGAAATTTAGGACGAGAAATTACTAAAATGCTCAATGAGTGAAGTAAACTACAAAAAAAAAATGTTTTTGTAGTTATTAAGAAGTGTTGAGTGAAATGACTTTACCGTCATTGGGCATAGTCAGGATAGGAATTTGAGTGATGGAACCCTTTCTTCCTTCAATACGCCCAGCACGCTCATAAATGGTTGCAAGATCAGTATACATATAACCTGGATATCCACGTCTCCCAGGAACTTCTTCTCGGGCAGCTGAAACCTATAGTTTCTCAACCATCGTAGTATTACTTTAGTAAACCTTTGTGACGTGTTCATGCAAATTTCAACTTTTCGAAAACCCAGACAAACATTTTGATCAATGAATCTGGATGCATCGTTAAAATGGGAGTGACAACAACTGGATATAAAATTCATTACCTCACGAAGAGCGTAACAGTGTCTGGAATACGGTGTAAACTGGACTTAAAATTTATTACCTCACGAAGCGCATCTGCATAAGAACTCATATCTGTCAATATAACGAGAACATGCTTTCCACATTCATAAGCCAAGTATTCTGCTGTTGTGAGGGCAATTCGAGGAGTGATAATTCTCTCGATGGTCGGGTCATTGGCCTGTCAGAATGGGATGCAGAAGCAGCAGAACCAAGGTCAATCCATCGTCAAGGTGATATTAGTACTAAGAAAAGCAAGATGCGGCATAATCCAGATGATCCTCATAGCAGCTTACCAGGTTTAGGAAAAGGGTGACTCTCTCCATTGATCCATTTTCTTCAAAATCACGCTTGAAGAACTGAGCTGTCTCCATGTTAACCCCCATAGCTGCAAATACAATCGCAAAATTGTCCTCTTCCTGATTCTGAACAATGGCAAATGAAGAGTCATGCATTTTACGAGGCAAACAAAAGTGCACAGATATATACAAATATTGAAATCTCCACCAGCTAGAATATCCTCTGTTGCAGTACTTGAGGAGCATTTGAACAAATGGCATAAAAATATAAAGCTTTTTAATGCACCACAGATTCATAAAGACGCATAAACAGGATTAAATTATGACTGAAATAATTACTCTATGGATTTGAAGTTACTTCTATATCATTGCAAACAAAGATAATTCCTTATACTTCAACATGCTACTCGGGAAAGAAGACACTCTAGCAGCATTAATTGGACAAAATGATACCCCAAGTAGGTCATCGCTCTTTTCCAACCGCTTGACAAGACCAGCCTGACGACAAATCTGAGCAGCTATTTCATTATGTGGCAGACCAGCAGCAGAGAAAAGTGGAATCTTCTGTCCACGTGCAATGGAATTCATGACATCAATGGTAGAAATGCCCGTCTGTATCATTTCTTCAGGATAGGTTCTCTCACTGGGGTTGATAGAACTCCCTGTAAAATATTATGCACTTATAAGATTAGAAAGAAAAGATAACGATTAGATGGAGTCATTTACACAATGGGGCAGTCATCCTTCAATGCTCACCAGATATATCAAGGTATGCCTCTGGCAGAATAGGAGGGCCATTATCAATTGGCTTTCCAGATCCATTAAATATGCGCCCAAGCATATCCAATGATACGGGAGTTTTCAAAACCTGAACGCACGCCGAAACAGGGAAAAAACTGTAAGCAGCCATCTCCTGCTTTCCAACATGCCAATGCAACCGTATCTTTCGAGGAATGAGCAAAACGTTGAAAGAGAGAAGGTTCTAAAGTACATACCTCTCCTGTGAATTGCACTGTGGTAAACTTGTTATCGATACCAGATGTTCCTTCAAAGACCTGAAACACATAGCTAAGTGAATAACTGAGGACAACAAAACTATAATCAAAATCAAGCTCTAGTTATGCGGAAAATACTTAACCTGCACAACTGCTTTTTCCCCATCAACTTCCAAGACCTGACCACGTCTTGTTGTTCCATCTCCTAAACGAATATTAACGATCTCCTGGTACTTCGGGCCCTGATGTATTATGCAGATAAAAAAAGGATGAAACCAGTTAGAAAATTCCCCCAACCAAAGAAAACTGACATCTTTCATGCCAAAGCATCCACTCATCTCTGTTTCTACCTTCACTTTGTCAAGGATGACCAGGGGGCCAGCAACACCAGAAACAGTTCTGTACTCTGCGAAAGAAGAAAAATGATTCATTCAGTCTGCTAAATAAAATATGTACTAAGAAAGGTAAACAATTACATCAGTGATAGGAAATTGGAATGACTAAAGTACATTGACTAATCCACAAATGCGATCAATTACACTAAATTCTATCAAGATGAAGAAATCCCTATACACCCCTTATGAACTGAAAAGTAAAAGCGATTCTTTATGCCATTCGAAGACCCTACACAAGAAAATGTCTTTTTTTACATGCAATCCACAAAGCAAAAAGGGCTCAGAGCAACAACTATCTGTCGACTGAACCCAGGATCAAAACAAGCAAGCAACAATAAACTTGAAAATTCATTTTCCAAACTAAAGATCACCCTAAATAATGATAAAACAAACCCGTGATTCAATCCAGAAACTAAGGAATTTACATGTATTTGAACAATAATCCCTCAGAAATCGAGAGTTCCCAATCATTCGTTCTAATTCAACTCGATTACACGCTAAATAACAGCAAAGAATCACCCGAAAAAATGAAAAATGAAAACCCTGAGAGGTTGTCATTTCTTATCCGTTTCTCCAACCGGTGTAGTTCTGATTAAAAAAACAATCGGGAAAATTTTCAAACGGGATACTTCAAATCCTAGAGATAGTTCTATCACTGATCGAAGCTCATAAATGATCCATGATCAGAGACTTACCCATGCCGATCTCGAGAGTTCCTTCCTCCATGTCGATATTCTTCGTCGTCGCCCCCATTTTCACAGATCAAACCGATCACGTCGCTCTCCAACAGCACAATTCCTGAATCAATCACGACGCGGGAACACACAAATTCCCCAAAATGAGATCAAGATCTCTGGAGAAATCGATCCGACAAAACTCGATAGGAATGATCCGTTCATGATGAATTCCGAAAAAAGACAGCGACAATCGAAACGGTAAGAAAGATCTGATGAACACCAGAACACGTACCTGGGACGATTAGATTCAAACCAGAGAGAATACGAGTTTGAAAACTACAGACTACGCCGGTTGCAGTTTATGATGAAATACGTGGTCGCGAGATAATAAAAAGGAAAAAAAAAAAACAGAAAACCCCCAAAAAACCCCGAAATTTTACAAAAATTCAGTTAAGATCTAAAAAAAATTCAATTAATGTTATTTTATCTAAAATATTTTTTTTAAGCTGGGAAATAAAATAATTGTACTCGTCATTTCCTTTAAGATTTATAAAATTACTGGGAAAATACGTATTATTAGTTATTAAAACTTTTTATTTTAAATTAATTTTTTAAATGAGTTGTATACTATGTTATTTTTCATAATTATGATATTAATCGAGAAATGATTCGACTCAAGATTCAAATTTATAGGTATAATAAAATACATTGATATTAAAATCAAGATATAGTAAATATATTATTATCAGCTACAAAAGAACCCGGGCAAAAGCTTCGCCAAAGATACCCACAAGAACAATGCCCACGTGGCAATACCACCTGAAGAGGTGTACCAACGGCTAGTTTCTTGCTGTGACTGCAAATGTATATACGCTCTTTTCTCTTGCTCTTCCGCATCTTGCAGCACAGAATCCACATTCGGGTGATGATCCGATCTTCTCATCTCCATCATGATGATGATGGCATGGTGGTGATCTTAACCAGCTCATCTGTTGTTTGATCCACCTGCAAGAGGTAATGTGGAGTTTGTTCTTCACTGGAATTCAACTTCATCCCGGCTTCTTCTTCGGACTCAGGCTCCTCATCATTATGTCCATGACCATGTCTACTTATGTCCACATTCCTTTAGAAGCGTAGATGGGTTTTCTTCAGTTTCTAGCTTGATGAGGTTTTCTGCCATGATTTTGCTTAAGTCCACATAGTTGTGAACCCTGCAAGAACTTAATACAGCTTCCCATACCCGCGCGTCTGTCTCAAAGGGCAGTCCTTTTATAATTTCATATACTTCTTGCAATTTCCCGGCCCGTCCAAAAAGGTTCACCATGAAAGCATAGTGTTCGAATCTTGGTTTGATTCCATATTCGTCTGACATCATGTTGAAATATTTCAACCCTTCATCTGTCAAACCACCATGGCTGCATGCTGCTAAAACATTAGTAAAGCTGATGAAATCAGGCCTCAGTCCGGTTTTTCTGAGAGACTGGAATATAATTATGACTTCGTAGCTCTCCCCGTGCATTGCATATCCGCCCATCATCGAATTCCAACAAACTAAATTTTTCATGGACATCGTATCAAAGATCATCCTAGCCATGTCGATTCTTCCACATTTGGAATACATGTCAATCAATGCGCTACCTACATGAACATCGTGCGTAATCCCGGAACGCAGAGCAAACCCATGAGCCGTTCTCCCGTGGATCAAAGCCGCTCTATTTCCACATGCTGGCAACATCGAAGGGATTGTTACAGAATTTGGTTTTACCCCTGCAACCTGCATCTCTCTGAATAGCTCTAGTGCTTCAATGTCCTTCCCATTCTGTGCACACCCAGCTATTATTGACGTCCAAGACACGACATTTAACTCCAGCTTATGTTCCTTGAATAACTCAAACATTTCAAGGGCCTTATCAACAAGACCATTCCGTGAGAGCCCTGTGATGCAAGCATTGCAGACACCGGTTTCCTTGAGTTCAAATTCATCGAAAAGTTTCAAAATTTTATAGCCACACCCGCATTTCCCGTACATATCAACCATAGCGCTGGTGACACATTTATCCTTCATCAACCCCTGCTTGATCACATACCCATGAATCTGCCTCCCCAAATCCAACTTCTCCAAGTCTCCAACAGCAGGAAGAACGCTCGAAACCGTCATCTCGTCTGGCCAAACCCCATCAGAATGCATCTTTTGGAACATCTTGCCTGCTTCCCCGTGATAACCGCTATGATTAAACCCTGAAAGTATACCGTTCCACGACACTAGATTCGGCTCCAAACCCAATTCTTCCATCACGGAAAGTAGACCCATCACCTCTTCTAAATGACCCTTTCGTGCATAGGCACAGAGCAGAGCACTGCAAGTCACAACATCTTTCGTCGAAATTCTATCGAACACCTCGCGTGCGTTTCCTATCCTGTCACATTTCAAGTACATATGAAACAGAGAACCCTGAACAAAAGGATCCAAATCCAATCCAGACACACAAGCTATACAATGTATCTGTTTCCCAAACTCCAAACCTGACAACCCAGCACAAGCCTTGAACAAATTCGGAAGAACATAACTATCCGGAGACAGCCCATGAGATATCATCCGAGAAAACACGCGAAGAGATTCCGAGAATCGATTAGATCTGGTGAACGCGTAGATAAGAGAAGAGAAAGCGTAAATAGTGGGCTCCGGGATCGTTCGGAGGACGAGCTCTGCATCAGCGAAGCAATGGTGGTTCGAGTACGAAGCAATGATCTTGGTGGCGAAAAAGCCATCATCTTGGGCTCCGAGCTTGATAATCTGAGCATGAACTTGCCTTGTCTTCGATAGAGACGCAGAGGAAGAAGACAAAGGAGATTCTAAGAAGCCAAGAACTGGTTGGGGAATTTTCTCGAACAGATGACGAACTTTTTTTGTCATCGCTGAAACTCGAAATTTCCCGCCTTGTCAACCACTTTGAAGAAAGATTCTGCCACGTATGGAATCAACGGTGGAGATTAAGCGACTGAGTATCGCTTAGCCTCCAAGCAAATCCTGACCGTTGTTTTCATCTACTCCGTCAACAATCTCCTCTACAAATCGAGAGAGAGAGATTCGAGGGCTTTGTTGTTGCTTCTCGTCTTGGGATTCTGTTGTACGGACGTACGGACGGGTAAATCTGTTGCCGCCGGGCGAAATACGACGGTCCTCTGACTCTTTATGAACCTACACATATAGAAAGTTTATAACTTTGTTCCAAGATTTGATGATTTGATTCACAAGAAGTTAATCACTTTGTCCCAAGTGGGACGAGTAGATTCATATTATGAACCTTTTTGTCTGCTATGATTTGTCTTCAGTTTCGGATTGATTATTAGATATTTCGTATTATTTAATTTCAAATATTAAAAACCTAAATTTGGATAATTCAACCGATGAAATGAGAACATAAAGCGTTTATTCCATCCCGAATTGGAATATCAAGTTTTGATAAAAAACGTATAATCCAAAGGATAGTTGACTCTCGATCTCAAAATTAGTTTGAGTTTTAGTACATAATATTCGACCACCCAAAAAAATTTTCTTCAGTTCTAAGATTCATAATCCAATCTCGTGGATTAACCCAAAACTTTGATGAACTGTCGTATAATCAGTTTAACCATACACAATGACAATACCACCACAATATATTTACTAATACCTTTTTTTCTCGGAAAAAAACACCAAAATATTAACAACCCACACCTTGCAAATGTCACATACACGTTTTAATTGATTTATTAGGTTTTAGTATATATTAAATTAAATAAAATGGAATAATATGAAATTTTAAAATTAAACTAATCAATTTTAAAAATAAAATGAGATAGTATTATAAAAATTTGAAAAGATAGTTTTTAAAATAAATATGTTTGTTAAAAATCATTTTAAAAATCAGCATTCATATAATAAATCAATATAAAAAATCAGGTTCATATAATTTATATAAAAAAATGAAATTTTAAAAAAACAAGAGAACAATAATATAACCACAAAAAAATGTCGTTCCTACATATATCACAAATTTTCTATAAATAACGTGTAGATTTGGGTTTCGGGAAACAAAATTTTAATTAAATCATTATTTTTTTGTTATCATTTAAGACTTTTTCCTTCGCCTTTTGTGCGGTTGGATAATCTTCCACGAGAATATCCGTAGATGTTTGACCAACCAAAACCGGTTCAACTAAACCGAACTCAGGCAAATTCCAATAAATCAATCTCTTTTATAAACCCATAATTTTATGAAATTTTACATAACTTAAGTAAATATTAGTTCCTGGTAGGCATAAAAAATATTTCATATATAATAATTTTATGGTTAATTTAGATAAATCTATGGTTCGGTTCGGTATGATTTGGGATACAAAACCGAACGGGAAACCGGTTAGGGTAGTGCATGTAGGGTGTGTGTGTGGAAGAGAAGCGTTGCGGCTGCTGCTATATATCGAAGAAGCGCCTGCACAAAACAGCTCTTAGGGCGTAAAAGAAGAAACGAGGCCGTACAAAGAGGGCTCTTCCATAGGCCAGAACCGCCATTATCGCTTCCTTTGGATCTTCTAGGGTTCCTGTGAAATCTAAGCACAAGCATTGCACCAAGGTAAAGTAATCCAAGTGATAGGATAGATTTTCTGGGCCAGAATCCTTTTTTCTATGCGAAGAAAAAACCCTAGTTTCGTCGCTGTTCGTGACCTAATTCGGTGGGTCTTCCATGGAATTACTGCTCATGTTCTGATTCTTTGGTGTTTTTCCGGCGGGATTCCCTTTTCTGTTCTTCAGATGGACCGATATCAGCGAGTTGAGAAGCCAAAGGTGGAGACGCCGATTGATGAGAACGAGATTCGTATCACTAGTCAGGGCAGGGCGCGAAACTACATCACCTACGCCATGACTCTTCTGCAGGTGATTTGCTTTCCCTTTTTTATTCTGCTTCTTCTTCGTCCTTAGGTGAATCTGATTCTGTATATAGTCGATGCCTTCTATGGTTTCGATTAGAGGTGTTTGGGGATTGTTTCCGTTGTGATAGGATAGATTTTTTGGGGTTTCGAGATTGTAGAATATGAACTTATCCCCTTCGGTGACAGATTTGGAATCTGGAACCTTCCTCTTAGGGGTTGAAAGTAGGCTGAGAGAGTGAAAGATGGGGTTTTCTTTTTATTTTGTAATCTAGATTTGGATTTGCTCTGTGTTGAATTGGTAGTTCAGAAAGATGTGTTAGTACTACCGTAGTTATGAATCTTATAATGATGCTTATCGCTTTTGTTCATGTTGGATTAATTAGAAAGTACCGTGGTTGATGTGCCCCTACCGAAACGGTAAACTATTACGGTTTTTAATCTGATGGTGGATTGATGTTCTCATAGTTTCAACACTTCTGTTGGTGGATTTTGGCTCCATTGGATAAAAATCGCCGATGTTGTTTGGGTTTTGTCTCTGCTTTTGTTATATGATTGTCCTGTATTAAAAGAATCGGTTATTTTTTTGCAGGAAAAAGGTTCAAATGAAGTTGTGTTCAAGGCAATGGGAAGAGCGATCAATAAGACTGTGACCATAGTAGAGCTGATCAAGGTACTTATTACAGTTTTTTTTCTGAACCATAAACGATTGTGTTTCTGATGATGTCTTAATATATCCTCATTATCTGTAACTATAATGCAGAGAAGGATTCCTGGCCTTCACCAGAACACTTCTATTGGATCTACAGATATCACAGACACATGGGAACCTCTAGAAGAAGGCCTTCTACCGTAAGGGGACACTAACTTCAGAACTTTTTTTAACGCTCTAATTGTGCCTGAAGCTCATCTTACACTGTTACATTCAATTTTTTAAATATTAGATTTCTCTAATCTGCTGTTTATTTCTTTACCTAAGATTGGAGACCACAAGGCATGTTTCGATGATAACAATAACCCTTTCCAAGGAGGAGCTGAATACGTCCTCAGTTGGGTAAGTTTCTTGTACTATTTCCCTTTGTGGCACTTTTTCTGCATTTGCTTGCTTCTAACTAATTTATGGTATGCCTTATGCTCCAAATAATCAATTAACTTAGCTTTCCGTGAAGTGATTTACATGGTAGATTATAATTTGAGGCTCTGGCTCTATAAGCATAATGGCAGTGGCACACCATTTTTTAACGCTTATAATTTTGATTAAATGATGTTGCAGGTACCAGCAACCAATTCCTGTTGAGTTGGTGAAGCCATCAGGCGAAATGGATTATGAAGGACGAGGTATTATGGGTTTTATTTTCTAATGAATCTTTCAAAAAGCTCCCTGGTTGGTATTTGAAGTTTCCTCTGTTGTCTTTTAGAAGGATCACCTAGAGGCAGAGGAGGAAGAGGCAGAGGAAGAGGAAGGAGCAACAGAGGTGGGATATATATGGCTTAGAAACTTCATTAGGAATTTCTGACTATCTCACCGCTGAATTTATGGTTTCAATTCATGGATTGTGGTCAACAATTCGAGGTCCGCCTAATTGAAATTCGTGCCCTGATTTTCCAGCTTTTACAGGAAATGGATTTGCGAATGCGGAGTATGAAGATGGAGGTTGGGATCGTAACCGGGCATATGGTAGGGGAAGAGGTCGTGGAAGAGGACGCGGGTTTCGTGGTCGGGGAAGAGGAGGATACAATGGGCCGCCACAGTACGAGATGGAACAGGACGGAGGTTATGGATATGATGCACCTCCTCCTCCTCCTCCTCCTGGCGCTGGTACGACCCTCTAAACTCGTTGTTTTGTTTCTTACTAGGATAAATCTCTCTGAACGACTAGCTGTGAGTTTTTTTTATTTTGGTCTGAAAACACGATGGCATAACATGAGGAAAATATTGATGATGGGCAGGACGTGGTCGTGGAAGGGGAGGCCGTGGGAGAGGCCGTGGTGGATTCAACAGATCGAACAGGCCACCGGTCCAGGCGGCTGCCTAAGTGAGGTTGTGCTGAAAATTCCGATGCTTCTACATGTCTCATGTTTGTCATAATTATCATTAGCTTGTTTTTTGGTCGATTTTTAAATTATTATTATCTAATCTGACTGAATTCATCAAGAATCATTAGGGTTCTTTTTGCATATGTTCATTGTTTTTTTTTTGTCAGCAGCATTGTCTTGGTTTTTTGGTAGAACTACTGAGGCATCATGTTTTTTTTTCCTCTTGTTTTGTTCTGTAGCTTGGGTTTTTAGGCAAAAGACAAGTTTAAGTTTTCACACTTTTTTTTCCCTTTCATTGTTAAGGTGATGGCACCGTTGATTCTTTTGTTTTTCCTTTTTTTGGTTGTTTCTCAGTTTTTATTTTGCTTAAAAAAATGGAAATTAAATCGCATGTAATCATGGAATGAATAATAGTGGTTTAGTTTCCTCCTCATCCGTGGGAGCCCGACAAGAACCCTTGCTGCCTCCTCTGTCCTGTCCTTGAATCGAATCTCCCTAGCCTGTAGAGACCGGTTTTGGTGTTTAAATAACTGTAAGGTATCCGTCTATGGATGGGATGGCGATGAAAACTCGATTCTTGGAACTTAAGTCTCCGGCCCCATAATAAAATCCCTGTTGACAACAAGTCTACTCTATGTTTATGAGATTTTATTTTGGAATTTGGTTCGGTTTAGGTTAGAGCGGGTCGAAATTTGAAAATGTTCAGACAATTATAGAAAATAGGATTAGTTTTTTGGGTTTGGCTTCTATTTTAACCCAACCGGGTTGATAATGTTCAAATTCGGTCTATTTTATAGTCGAGTCGAGTATAAGTTAGGAAATCATGAACGATGATTATATGTTATAAAAAAAATCTTAATCTACATTTTATAAAAAATGTATTTTAAACCAAATATGACGAGAAGGCAATTCAATCGTCTAAACTAAATTTAGTTGTATTTTAACGAAGAGAGAGACAATCTAATTGTATTTTGAAATCAATTAAATTATCTAGATTCGGTAGTATAGGGACGGTAGGAGAAAAAGACAAAATTACCCCCTCGAAATTACTTCGAAACCCTGAAAATACCCCGTTATTCCTCAACTTCGAAACCCTCTTTTCGGTCTTCACTTCGCGCTAGAGTTGATCCCTCTCCATCCTATTCGCCGACCACCTCCTCTTCTCCTCCGCCGCCGGTTTCAGATCTTGATCGCTGTCTAGGTATTCTCTCTCTCTCTTTCTCTGTTTGGTTCGAAACCTACGGCGGTGAACCTTTTGCTTTTTTTTTTTTTTCTGCTCAGTTTATCCCCACGGATTCGCTGTTTTATCTGAGAAATTCTCCATTTAGAATGTGATTTTAGGGTTTCAGTCATTGTTCTGTTTGCCTGGTGCTGTGCTCTCGTGGAGTGGTGTTTTTTTGGGAGGTTCTGTGATAGAAAAGAGCTTCAGTTTTCATTTGTTTTGCTCAGGTCTATGAAAATTCGGCTAATCCGTGTGTTTTCTTCGAAGTGAAAAACCCGGTATTGTTTATTAACTGTTGTGTGAAATGGGCTGTGTGGGTTTCCTTTCTGTTTGTTTCCCGAGAAAGTTTGAGGTGGAGAAGGATGAGATTGGTTGTATTTTGTCAATTGTCTTATGTAGTTTCTGAGTACTCAATGATATATGGATGTAGTGCTTATACAATATGTAACAAAAATGCAAGGGAAGATAAGAACACTCAAAAAGTGAAGCAGATTAGTGAAGCTTGTCTAAATATTGTGCTGTCGAGTTTTCTACTACCAGACATCTTAGCATGAAAGAATTGTAGGAGTTGAGGAGATCTTCATGGCACTCTGTCTTTATATTTTTGGCATTTGGAGTGTTCAAAAGTACAGTTTTATAATTTCGGGGTCTGTTTTTAATGTGCTCTTCTATCTCTCTTCCTCCTTGTGAATTTTCTCTCTCAGTCAAAGAAACCCGTCTTACAATGGTGGAAAAGTTCGTCTCTAACCGGGTGTTTTTTTTTTGTGTCTGTAATAGAAGTTTTACTTTTATTGTTGGAGAAAGAGCTAATTGGAGAAAGATGGCGACTCAAGCTGCTGCTGCCTCATTCAATGGCAATTTAAAGGTATAGGATTTCTTGTTCTTTTTTATCATTCAATTTATTTGTATTTCCATGGAAGTTTGAAGTTTGTATCCATTAGGTCTGACCACTTAGGCTTCAAAGCTTCTGTTTGCTTATGATTTGAAAGTTCTTCGCATCCCTTTGTATACATACATGCTAATAAATTTGTATTTTTGGGTATGCGGGATTGACTCCAAATTTCTTACAAAGCCACAAAACAGTACATTATGTGCTTTGTTGTATATTTTTCTCTAGATGGTGCTACTTAGCCTAGTTATTAATTGTATGTATTAGATGTGGAATTCTACCAGACGTTCCTGTGAACAAATTGACCGGTAGTATCTATCAGTTTCCAGTACTGGTTCTTAACTTCTCGAAATACTTAGGGATTTTGCTCTATAAAAAGTTCATGATGTTGTTAAAATTGTCATTGTTAGTTTGACCTTGTATATGTGCTGTGATATTTTATGCAGAAAGCAATGGCCGGGATAAAGCGTATCAATCTTGATGGTCTCAGATGGCGAGTATTTGATGCCAAAGGCCAGGTTTTGTTTGATTTTTCTGTCTGCTCCTGCCTTTCATTGTACTTTTCTGTTTACTGTTAATCATGAGTAGTCCTACCAGTCCACAGATCACAATCTTAAGCAAATATGATTGGAACATTTACAAATCGAGATCACAATAAGTATCCTGATTTCATCTGGATCTGTTTTATATGTTTTCGTCGGTTTCTTTTTTGATGAATTTGGATCAACATTCAACATGAATCACTTTTTGGGATACCTTATCTCAGATCAACCTTATGTTTTGTAGGTTCTCGGTAGATTAGCATCCCAATTATCAACCGTGCTTCAAGGCAAAGACAAACCAACTTATACTCCAAACCGTGACGATGGGGACATGTGCATTGTTCTCAATGCTAAGGATATATGTGTAACAGGAAGAAAGCTCACTGACAAATTCTACCGTTGGCACACTGGGCAAGTATAATGTTTTTAAGCATTTCTTTAATCATGAACTCAAAAGGAGAAATGGGTCAGATTTTGCTGGATGATATCTTGTTTTTTTTCATACTTTGTTATGATATTCACTTCTTTATTTCTTTCTTTTTTCTTTTTCTGACAACAGGTATATCGGTCACCTCAAGGAGAGGAGTCTAAAAGATCAAATGGCCAAAGATCCGACAGAGGTGATCCGCAAGGCTGTTCTGCGTATGCTTCCTAGGAACAATCTGCGTGATGTAAGTACACGTAGTTTCTAGGAACAAACTTGCTTTACACTTATTTTGTATTAGGACTGCGCACTATTTGAGTTTGAATTGAGGTTGTTTGACAGCTTATAAATTTGCGTGTTTTCTCCATGAATTGCTGCTTGGTTGCAGCAAAACTGAAATGGTCTTTTATTTCTCATATGGTGTGGGTATCAGGATAGGGACCGGAAGCTGAGGATATTCGCAGGGGATGAGCATCCATTCGGTGACAGGCCACTCGAACAGTTTGTGATGTCTCCGAGGAGAGTGAGGGAAATGCGGCCACGTGCTAGGCGGGCAATGATCCGCGCCCAGAAGAAGGCCGAGCAGTCGGAGCATGGAGGGACTGATACTAAGAGAGGCAAGAACAGGGCTTCCTCTCAAGTTTAGATAGTAGCTCTCTCCTTACGAGTGAAGTGACTTTTCTTGGAGTTTTGGTTCAATGCCTTTTGGTCTTACCGTCTGTATTAATAAATTGCTGGTGCTGATGATATAAGCTCTGTGGGGATTGTAGAATGCCGAATTTTCTTGAAAAACTGCAAGCATTCAGGACTTGGAAAGGAAAGACAGCACGGTTTTTTTGTTTCTTCGTCAAGCATTGAACGTTAGTTCGAATGGATCCAGTGGAGAACATTTGGATCCAGTTAAATAACAAACAATGACCAGATACCAGCATTCGGATTACGTAAACCGATACGTACATACATGCAAAGGCAAGCCCTTTTTCATAAAAACCAAATATGAACGACATGTACGAATAAGCAAAAAAATCAATGAGCGCTCACGAGGAAAGGGTTTTGGCAAACCCCGCATTCGATTGTCTCTGATCCTGAGATCGGAACCTGGACCTGCAAGAGATCCCACACCGTGTAGTTGATTGATGTTAGTTAGCAGCCCGAAGAAAATAAATTAAAACTAGCAAGAGTTTCTGCTCCGACGATTAAAGAAACAGACACTGATCTAAAATCTATGTCGAACAAGAAGGATATCGGAGATATTGTAATGACGAGATAGATACAGCGGATCAAAGAAATCCGGTTTAACCACTTAGATCCTCCCATGGTAACACTAATAGTATCCAGAAAGTACTCATACAAGAGACACACGGACACATAGGTAGGACCATTTGTTTTCCTTGCTATGGAAAACACAAGATTCTGTAATTGAGAGAAAAAAAAAAAAGGATAGCTAATAACCTGTAAGTGCACTGTGCAAGTTGGACAAGCTACTTCCTTCATCCGTCTCCCCGGCCCGTCTCTTGAGCCTGTAAGTAACCTCAGCAGTTATTCAACAGACAGATGACATACACGGGAAAAAAAAAACATTACCAGATGAAGAGTTGCGGTTTTTCTCCATTTCCTCCTGTGTCAAAAGATCAGGAATAGAGACATTGAAATAATTTAGCATAAATGATGAAAGGGCGTTGATGAAACTAAATCAGGGCAGTCTGGGGGCAGCTTACCTGAAGCTTCCTAGCAAGATCTTCATGGCTCTGAGGTCCAATATATTTGTTAGAAGTTTCCTTGGCATTACTCAACCTTTGTGACACTTCTGCCTGCATAAACCAAAACAAGTGCAAGTAGCACCAGAGAAATTGATGATGCAAAATCAGTTTCAAGACTAGATTCTGTGACCTATCCATAGGAATATGCAACCAAAGCTCTCTATCTTAAAACTAGATATCCACACATACTGTCTATACCCAAAGACCAATGGAAGAAGATTCTGAAAAATACAAACGATAGGTTAAAGAGCATACCATGCACGGGTCACAAACACGGACTTGGGGAGCGTTCTCCTCAGCAGTGAGAGCAACCCTGCCTTGAGTACACTTGTCACAGAAAATGTCCCCGCAGTTCCTACAGTGATGCTGAACGGAGAAAAAACCAAAGGTATAAGGTTCAACATTTCTGACCATAGTCTATAAATTGCTTTCGAATTATCAGATCAGGGGGGGAAAGTTTACCCTACGCACAAATGCACCAAAATCTGTACCACATGATGTGCACCCTTTAACAGCTTCATCAGGGACCTAATTAATGCAACCAATAGCACAAAATGAGAACAATAATCCTAACTAAGCAACGCGGTAGCTCTGAGAGGAGTAGCTGATCATCTAAACTAATCCTAATATAAAAGATTTGCCACAAGGATTTTTCTATTAGAACCTACCCAGTGATCCTTCTCCTCGTTCACAGGTTTTATCACGTTCATCCAATCAGCAAGTCCTTTTTTCTTCTCAGCGGCCTGTTCAGTTGATTTCACTGAGGCAGAAGGCCTGCTGCTTTCCCCAATCTCCTTTGCCTGAAATAGACGATGCTAAAGAAATCAGATAAACAAGAGAGAAGAATAATGGAACTGAGACTAAGACCTGAAGGATATAAATCATTGGAAATCACAGATACCTGAAACATTGCAGCAGTCACAATGTCCAGAAGGGTGTTGATAGTGTAACTACTCAATTGCAATCTGATACGCTTAGGTTCGATGTCCACTGGGCTCTTAGACCAGAAAGCCAGAATAGAAGAATCTAATTTCTGATATATAGATGAATATAACGGACATGAGGTCATCGTTCATTATAGTGGACAAAAAGAATTAGAAAGGAAAGAATACGGTCTCTTACTTCGCATCTTGTGACGTTCTCAAGAGGGTATATCCTCAGTGTTCTGCTAGTACTTGGATCGAGCATTCGGATCCCATCCAAACCAACCTGCAAGCATAAAACTGACAACTAATTACCCTTCACAACACCTGTATATCTAGGCAACACTCGAAAGGCAAAAGCTTTGATTCAGAGAAGAGTTGGGTTTTCGTTCATCCACACAATACAGAGTAACAAGTAATTGGTCAATCCATCACAAAGAGAAAAAAGATTACAAAGCCACTCGGTCCACCAAACAGAAAGTAGCACACTGCAGAAGAAGTTCAGATGAATCGTTTTATAAATACCAAAGTATTCCAAATGCTGAACATGTAAGGTGAGAACTTTGAGTATATAAGTTAGAAACAAAACAGAAAATTGTAAATTTCCACCAACGAGTTGAAGAAGTATCGAGGGATATCACATCATTACCTGGCAAAGCACATCCATGGTGGTCTGCCCATAGGTTTCCGCCAGCAACTTCACCCGGAATTTCTGCACCCCGCCATTAACATCTTCCTGCGTTTCCGCCTTCGGAACAGCCCTCACGATCTTGCCCGAACCCGAGCTCGCCGAGGAGTCTCTGCCCGAAGAGAAGCTAATGGATCGCCCATAATCGTCGAACAATGTCGATTTGGATAACTTCGGTGCCGTTCCACGTGCCCCGTAGGGCTCTACTTTTCCTCCTTCATAAGCATAGACGCCATCGCCATAGGAATCTTCATACCCAGGATATCCTCCGCTGTTCGATTGTTTCCCGTAAATGTCGGAGCTAAAATCCGATTTAGTCCTGCCGTAGCCTCCATAGGCAGGCTGGTCAAATTCCACCGGATTATCGTACGGATTCTCATACGAGGGAGGTACTGAAGCTCCTGAGGCACCAAACGTAGTTGCCGAGTACAACGACGATGAGTAAGGCGAACCAGATACAGGGTTCGGGTTCGGCGCTACCGCAGACGGCGGAGGAGGAGGGGGAGCGTATCCGGAGTTAGTCTGATGTTGATCATACGACGGAAAATACAGTGGTTGACCCGTGGATTGCTGATACGGCGGAGCTGAACCGAAGGATCCGTACGACGACACCGGTGCAAGACCCGGAGAAGACTGATTACAGGTAGATGAATGAGAATTAGGGTTTACAGACGGATCCGGCACCAGCGGCGGAGGTCGTTGGCCGGCGGGAGTGAATGCAGGAGCTGAATCAGGAACATGATTGGAAGTCTGCGTATAGGGCGGGGAAGTCTGTG